TAATAATAATAATAATAATAATAATAACAATAATAATACTCAAACATAGAAAGACTGGCCTACTGTGGTTAGGCTACCGGACTCGTCATCTTGAGTCCTAGGGAAATGCATTTGACACTAATTTTCCTCACTTCGCCCAGGTGGGAATCGGTACCCGGACATAGACAGCGAAAGATCTACCTTAGTATGTTAGAGTTTTAGCGTTCATAAACGGCAGCTTGCACCGTTTGCTTCCAAGGAAGTTGACTTTTGTTTCAGAATGCTCTCCGGCCTGCTGGGGTAAGAGTATACTGTAGATTGTGAAGCGATATATAGAGCTTGCTGTTGAGCGGAGATTTGTCCATACAAAAGCTATCTATTATTAAATGCGTGGTCGAAAGCGTCAAATATTTATAATCTGTTTCCACAGAGTGGTTGGGACGTCGTTGCTTTTACAAAGTTTTCTAAAGTCCACTATCGTGGTGGCGTTATCTCATATGTAGAGTACATTTGTAGCATTGATTGGGTTGGGGTTCTCGACTCTGGAATCTTAAACTGAGCATTTCTGTTTCTTGAGCTTCGGTTGGTTTAGAATCTTTCCCCCTCTTTTTGCTTTTGTATTGTGGGTTTTTTGGGTCTTGTTGTTGTTGTTGTTGTTGTTGTTGTTTTTGTTGTTGTTGTGTGGTAGCCTATCCGTTCGAAATGTTTGGAGCTCCGAAGAGCGCGCTCTTCGCCAGGGCCACCGCCTCCCTTTGGTAGCGGGTGAGACAGTCCAACCTCCCTGAATCCTCCCCCCAAGAGATGCCACCACTGGATGTTGTTATTGTTATTGTTGTTGCTGTTGCTAATGTTGTTGTTTGGTTATGTGACATTCCCTGTCCACCGTCTTGGTGTGATCTCACAGCAGCTGAGAAACGATCCTAGAGGTTCTGCTTTTTACAACGGTCTAACAATGTCAGCTGCTGATAGGGGTTTTTCGACCTACAGTATGCCGTACGACAATCAATGACGAACTGTTCTCAGTTCCCACTGGGAAGTTCGTGACCGACATGGAAGGATACGAGATAAAACAAGACAGATTAACCTATCACTATCACAGACAGCACAAGCTACTTTCAACAAGAGTCAAAAAGAGTAGTCATATTATTATAAATGGTAGATACTATTTCGAAAAAATAGCCTATAGTCTGATAGTGGTTTGCAGAGAAACCCTGCTGCACGCAGTTACATTTAACATTTAGGAGAAAGAGGAAGAAATGCTAGCATCTGCTGTGTTCTGGGTAGGCTTTTCAGCTGTGCTCACTGTGTGTGTGTGGGAGAGAGAGGCAGAGAGAGAGGGGGGAGGGATGGAGGGAGGGGCAGAGAGAGAGAGACAGAGAGAGAGAGAGAGAAAGAGAGAGAGAGAGAGAGAGAGAGAGAGAGAGAGAAAGAGAGAGATAGAGGGAGGGAC